GGTTGCTGCGGTGCCTGAGGCTGAGCAGGCGCTGCTCCGCCCTCTGGCTGTCCTGCCTGCTGCGGCTGGGGAGCGTCAGGCTGAAGAGGTCCTTCTGCCCTCGGTAGCTCCGTCGCGATCTGCTGAGGCGCCCGCCTGCGTTTCGACCCCTCGGGGGCCGTCCTCGCAGCCCAAGGCAGCCCCGTCACCGTCATGAGGAGCTCCTTGTCAGCCTGCCTTCCCTCAGGGAGCCGTCGCACCGTCCGTGCGCGGTCCAGCCCCCGAGGCGTCATCACCAGGTGCTCCTGCGACTCGTCCGACCTGCCGACCCAGATCCCTTTGCCCCACTGAGCCTCGCCTCGATGCAGACGCCGACCTCCAGTGAGACCTCGATGCGCAGGACGCGCAATCCGATACAGCACCGTCTCGCCGAAGTTGCAGATGTCGCCCTTGTGCGGCGTGCCTGTCGCGATCTCGTGCGGGCTCTGACCTCCAGCTCGCCTCGAGAACCTCTCGTGAAGCCACCCAGCGTGACGCATCATCCACGCCCAGATTGGCGCCGCCGTCACCTTCGTGTCGTAGCGCTTCTCGAGGTCCAGCCTAAGAACCCTCGTCTGGCCCTCGACTATCTTCACCGCTGCCTCCGCTGGGTTCGACTGGCTGCTGTGCTTGGGGGTCAGCTCTGCCGTGACCTTGCCCGCGAGCTCGCTGACCACGCCGTCCATGATGGCCTTCGTCGCCTGCTCCGTGTCCGTCCTGAGCCTGCACTTGCCCGTCTCGAGCCTCTGCACGAAGGACTTGATGCCTGCAATGGCGTATGGTGAAGCTGCCTTTGACGCACACGGAATAACCTTCACCACTCCAGTGTCAGAGCTGAACGCCACCAGCATCGTCGCGTAGGTGTCCTCTACCTTGGTCAGGTCCCCTTCCTCGTCGGCTGTCTTGCAGAAGCCGAAGTCGTAGCTGATGAGTGGGTGCTTCTGCTCTGAGTCCTCGAGCCTGACCAGCGAGCGAGGTGCATCAGGAGCTTTGGCCCTGACACACTCCTCGCACCACGGAGCAGCAGGGAGATGCGTGAGGCGATGCTGTCTCTCCTCCTCCGCGCTCGGGGCCTTCGGAACTGGAAGCTGCTTCGGCTCGACTGGATCGTGCTGAATCCCGAGCTGCTCCTTCACCGCCAGCTTGTGCAGCCTCTCCGCCTCCGAGCGCCTGGCAGCCGCCTCTGCCACAATGAGCCGCTCCCACAGCTCCAGCTTCGTGCCGTAGATCGGCATGAACAGCTCCCTCAGCCTGGTCCTCATCGCGCCGACCGAGCTCTCCGCCGTGAGCACTGGTGCCGTCGCTGCCTGCTGCTGGTCCGCCGCGCCGCAGCAGTGGTGGGCCGCTGGCGCAGGGCTCGCGGACACGATCGGGAGCCTAAGGCTGTTCCGCCCCAACTCGAGCTGCACGCTGCGGTGACCCTTCGTCATGTAGAGCCCGTCCTCCATACTGAGGTTGAACCTGAAACCCTGCCTGAGCAGCTTGCCCATGCTCAGCAGGTCGTCATTCACATCGGCAACGAGGAAGTCTGCCGTCGCCTTGATGCCCTCCTGCATCGTCATCTCAACACCCCGTAGGCCCGCTGTGGGCAGCGGTCGCTGCTGCACGTCGAAAAGCCTGGGGGCATCCGTCGCACTGTTGACTGGGGCCTCTGGGACGAACTTGTGCCTGCACAGGTGGTCGTCGCTGCCGCTGTCGATCAGGATGGAGCCTCCAACCTTCGCCACCTGGCCGCTCGTCGCCGCTGAGACCGCAAACACCCAGCCGTCGGGAACGCCGTCGTAGTAGCCCGACGCGGCGCGGACCCCGCCCTCGGACTGCTGCTGTCCCGAGCTCGAGGCCGATCCATCTCCCTGAACCGCGCGCGTGTTGCCAGTCTCCTTCTTGGCCTCATCTGCCCTCTTCTTCCTGCAGTCGGCCCGCTTGTGGCCCCACTTGCCGCAGTAGCCACACTCGCCGTCGAAGTAGTCGGACTGGCCCTTGCCATGGCCCTGCTTGCCGTCGCGGTTCTTGGACTTCGTCTTCGAGTCCTTGCAGCCCTTCACATTCTTGCCAGCCTTCCCTGACTTGTCCATCTTGCCTGTCTTGCCCGACTTCCCGTGCGACTTGCCGCCATGCGGTCCAACTCGAACTGCATCCACCTGCATCGGCACGACCCCGCCAGTGTCTGGGACGTGGGTGAACGTCCGCCCTTGATTGTAGTAGCCCCTGATGTGACTCCGAGCCGCTGCGAACGTGAGCTTCACCTCCTCAGGCGCCTGCCGAAGGACCTCACGGTACGGCTCTGGCGCGTGCTCTAGCAGCACGCTGACTCGAACGTTGTCCGAGACCGCCTCGCCGCTCTGGTCCACGTACTCTGCGACGATGGCCTCCCACGCCGTGAGAGACTGAAAGAAGTCGATGCCCGACTCCCGATCCTTCGCCCACTTGTCCTGAGGGTTCAGGATGAAGCGCAGCATGGCCGTCCACCTGTTGCCCGACTTGCTCTCATACTCGATCTTGAGCTGCCGCCACGCCTCCAGGCCATTCTTCCTCGAGAGCTTGACCACACCCAGCGACTTGCCGTCGCACCACGTGATCAGCAGGTGCCAGAGCCTCTGGCTGACCGCTCTCGCCTGGTCCCCCAGCTGGTCCGTTGCCAGTGGGTCGCGCCTGTTGGCCGCCTCCGTCATGAGGTCCTCCATGCCAAGCAGCGCGGTGTAGGCCTCGAACCTGAGGCTCCAGTCTGCCCATCTCTCGTCCGTACCGTCGAACCTCTGAAGCCTCATGTCGGTCCGAACGTCGACGACATCGATCGCCGCCATCTCCGCCAGCACGGGCAGGAGGTCTGGGCGCGGCGAGCGAGCTCAGCTCCCGTGGGCACAGGAACCGAGCTCCGCTACCATGTAGCAATATCGAGGCTTTTCCTCTCAACCCTCGAAGCCAAAGGACCTGCAGTGCTTGCTCCTTCTCTGCCCTAACATGCTGACTCCTGCACACGGGGGTCCCTGACCCCAGCAAATACAATCTACAACAGTCTTGGAGCGTCGGAAAGCTAAAATGGCGAGAAAGCAGAAAACATCGAAAAACACATTGGAAAATTGACCATTTCGGCCTCCCGGGGCCGTCTTGGGAGGCTTCTTTGGGGCCGCTTGGGGCGTCTTGGGGGCTCCTGAGGCTGTCTTGGGGCTGTCTTTGGCGTCTTGGAGCGCTTTGTGCCTGTCTTGGAGCGTTCTTGAGGCACTCGGGACCGCTTCAATGGGCGTCCGGAGGGTCCCAAAGCCCCAGGGTCCCAGGAGTCCGGTTTGGGGGGGGGGGGGGGGTGCGGGGTTTTGCGGCCGCCCGGGCTTGTAAAAATATAGGAAGAGGAATATATAAACACAAACACACAAATCCCAGGATCCCCCATATTTTCCAATATTTTCTGGATTTTCGTCTCCACCCCACACTTCCCAGATTTCCCCACATCTGCCTGGGAGTCGACGACTCCTTTTGTCTGTGTGTGTGCTGTCTTCCCTCCTGAAGACGAGAAGGACCCCCCCGCTGCTCGAGACGCCGAGGCCCCGCGCCGAGGCGGCAGCGGCGCCTGCGCGCCGCACCGCGTGGTGAACGTTACTCATAAGTAGTCGGGTCGCAGGCGCGGGCATGTGCCGCTGTGAGACGGGAGGGGGAGGAGGCGGAGGCGGAGGAGGCGGAGGCGGAGGAGGAGGAGGAGGAGGAGGAGGAGGAGGCGGAGGAGGAGGCGGAGGCGGAGGAGGACGAGGAGGAGGAGGAGGAGGAGGAGGCGGAGCAGGAGGCGGAGCAGGATGAGGAGGAGGCGGAGGAGGAGGAGGAGGAGGCGGAGCAGGAGGCGGAGGCGGAGCAGGAGGCGGAGGAGAAGGAGGCGGAGGAGGAGGAGGAGGAGGAGGAGGAGGAGGAGGTCTGGCTCCGGACCTCTGCTCAGCGCGACTGCTTGCAACAGTGCGCCCTATGGGGGAGACTCCAGCTGCGTGAAACGGGCGCCCAAAACAGCCGAGATCCACTCCATGGGGCTGGAGGGGGGGGGTGCCAGGGCCCGCGCCGAGGCGCAAAACAATACATAAGAAAACGATCACCTGCTCGCCGGCGCCACCCGGATAGAAACTCGCTCACTCAGCATATCAGGCCAGGACCGGACCGGTGCAGGAAAGCGGCGCTCTAAAGCCTGGGTCCTGCCACCTGGGTCCTCCAACCTCGATCCTCGCGCTCAGCCCGCGTGCGAGTCCCGCGCAGGAGTGGAGTCGTCCTGCGAGTTTCCTCTAACATGTCCTGCCGCCACCCTGCGCGCTGCCCTCAGCATCACTTGTCTGCAAGAGCACCTATACGCCTCATACATCACCCCAATGCCTGGCTGGGGCCGCCCTGGCCCAAACGCCCTCCTATCCAGCGCCATGAGGGCCTGTGCCCCCATCCTGGGGCCCACGGTGGCTCTTGCCAGGCATGGTGGTGGTGGTGGTGGTGGTGTATGATCCAAGTGAGTTCGGCAGGAACATAAACTTTGGGCGCTCCGCGCAGGTTTCTTGGATCTGCGCTGGACCCTCCCCCCTGGCGCGCGGAGCGCGCCAGGGGCGGCGCCGGAGGCGCCGCCCAAGGGGGCCCATCTCGGATCCAAGAAATCCGTGCGGAGCGCCAGAAGTTTACGTTCATAGTGCTTTGTTGTTCTTCGACTCTTTGGCGGCGCGCACATGGGGGTGGAGGGAAGGGGGAGGGCTTCTTAGAAGGAGGCTGCTTATTAGAAGGCGCCGGCCTTACATCTGCAGGTAAGGCCCGCGCCTTCTAAGAAGCACGGGTGCTTCTGAGAAGCCCTCCCCCCTCCCCCCACCCCCCTCTGCGCGTGGCTGAACTCTGTGGACATCACTTCTGTACCCGCCTCGGTGGCACGGAGCTGGCCCCCGCCAGCCCTCGACAGGCACACGCCGCGGGCTGGCCGCCCCCCCCCCCCCCCGGCCCTGCCGCGAGAGGAGGCAGGCGGCAGGCGGCCCAACTTCCTGCAGCCGCAGCCAGACGTTGGGGCTGTGCAGGCGGCTCGCGACGCGGTTCTCGTTGGGGCTGAACCTGGGAGGAGGTGATGGGAAAGCAAGCTCGATGCACCGACGCTCGTTCCCGCCCTGCACTGGACACCTGCACAGGCAAGCGGATCCTGGCGCAGACGGGACCCTGGTATACACTTTTCGCTGCTCCCCCGGGAGGCGGAACAGAAGATGTGCACTACACCGCCCCGACGTCGTCCCCGACCCTCCAAAAGTCTTGGGATTGACAAACAGCCCGCCACTGGCAATGTACATGTTCCAGTTTCCGAGGTGAGTGAGACGCCTGGAACGTCGCGGCACAGCCGCACGACGGCAGGCCTTTGCTGCTAGCGTGGGCGCCTATGGAAGACCGCCCCGTGCCATGCGCCGACGTACGGAAAAACAGCCCTGGCGACGGGAGTCCTGTCCAGGGGACCGGGCCCCGGGGATTCGGGGCCCGTCGGGTGTCTGGGGGGGGGGGCAGGGAGGGACCAGGCCCAGGACGGCGGGCGCTTCTGAGCCTGAGCCTCTCTGGAGGAAGGCCAGCGCTGATCTCTGGGAACCACCGACGAGCATATCTGCCAGTGTTTGCTCCAGACTGCAATTTGCGGAGCACAACCACGATCATGCAAAGGATAGACCTGACCGAACAGTATGTTCTACTGAACCGATGCGGTTCACGCTAACCGCGCTCTGCTGTACATTACTCAACTCTGTTGCACCCCCCTCTCTACTATGTTTCATTCCACAAAATACGAATACCCTACCTGCCCTGCCGTACCCTATTACACGCATTTCTTCTCTACTCTATTTCTCTTCACACCACCCGAGTTCAAGTGGGCCCCCCAAGGTAACTGGCGAAAAATATAATAGTTACCCGTGGGGCGGTTACTGCCAGGGTTTTTTTGGGGGGGGACATCGGGGGGGCAAAACCACATTTAGCAGCACACTCTTCAATGAAAACGACCCTGGGGCAGACGGGACGGGATCAAACACCTTTCGAGCACCGAGAAAAAGGCAATCCCGAATCGACCTAGCAAGGCGGGGGCTCTGTCAGCCTCCGACGGCAGCAAACTCCGGCCGAGACCACGCCGGGTCGGACACCTGACGCAGCGCGAACCGTTCGGCGTGGAAGGACCTCGCTCCCGAGAACTTGCCCCCTGGGAAGGATCCGCTGCAACAAATGAAACGAAGTGCACACACGCGCGCGTCGTCGCGCGAGCATGCCGGAATCTGTCAAAAACCTTTCTTTCGTTTCGTAGCAATGCCAGAACCGACAGTCCAAACAACAAAAAAACATTGTTTCGGAACGTAAGTTTTCAAACATGCGCGCGCTCGCGCTCTTGCGGAACCACTAGAAAACGGATTGCCAAGCGGGCTTCTGGCGCTGCATGCCGACATCATTCGTACGCCTTTTGCGCTCGTGCTGGGAGGGCACGATCCGTATCAAATCATAGCATGCGGGCCACTCTCGCGCGTCGGCCGCGCGCGCATGCCGAACTTTTCCAAAACCTTCATCACCGACGCGAGGATGCCGTCATCGTCGGCGTCGTGATCAGCATCGCCGTCCGCGCTGGCCGTGCCGTCGGCGATGTCAACATCGCCACTGGCATCGCTACTGCTGTCATCGTGTCTGCCGTTGTCGACATTGCCATGATACCGCGCCCGCCCAAGTCACCGACTCGCACTGAAGCGCCTGCTGGGATGTGCCCAACGGTCAGCGCCACCTCGGCCGCGTCGGTCGCGCCAAAGTAGCTGGCCGCTGCGCGTTCGTGCTTGGGTTGGCGCGGCCGCAGAGACGGACCAGCCAACGCCAAGCACCCATCGCAATCGCCACCGCATGTATTTTGCAAACCCAGTTGCGGGTGGGTGGGTGGGATGATTGCGCGAGCAGTGGAGTTGACAACTCACTGCGAACATAAACTAATTGTATATATATATATATATATATATATATATATATATATATATATATATATATATATATATTGCACAGCGTCGATAGCACCACATAGATTGCACTACCCGATTTGTAAAAAATCGATTGCACCACATCGATTGCGCACCAAATAGATTCTCCATTCTTAAAGAGAACATGGATTCTACACCCCCTTTCCCCTGGGATTATCGGCTCCTTTTTCCGTATTGCAATTGACGCGCGATTCTGCCCCATCGTCCATCTTGAATACGAAATCGAACCATCACAACCCAAACGGTGTCGACCCCACCGCCATCCTCCGACAAAAGACTATGCGCGCACAGTCGTGTATAACAAATCATCAGTTTCCAAGAATCAGTTGTAAATAAAGAGACGAAGAGCGCACGCGCGCGTCGACGCGCGCGCATCCCAAAATCATTCAAAAACCAACGGTGCCGTTAGGAATAACAGAACTGATGTAATCTCTATGTATGTATATATACATGTGCACCTGCACAGTCTTTCGCACACACAAAACAAAGGCTTTTCATCATTTACAAAAAAATGCTGCGAAACGGGTTTCGTGCGCGCATGTCCACATCGTTCGAACGCCCTTGCGCGCGTGCCGTCGCGAACTCGTTGCAACAGAAAGGGCGAAGTGCACATGCGCGCGTCGTCGCGCGCGCATGCCGAAATCCATTTAAAAACCTGCGGTTTCGAGGCAAGTCAAAACCGACTGTCCGACAAACATACCAAAGCACATTTCAAAAAAAGACTGCGCTCGCGCTCTTGCGACTTCCCCAGAAATCCAACAGTTTTCAAACATGTCACTGAATTCTCCGAGACGGGCATCTGGCGCCGCATGCCGAAATCATTCGCACGCCCTTGCGCGCGTGCTGGGGGGGCACGATCCGCGTCAAATAATACCATGCGGGCCACTCTCGCGCGTCGGCCGCGCGCGCCTGTCGAACTCTTTCCAAAATCTTCATCGCCGACGCGAAGACGCCGTCATCGTCGCCGGCGTGATGAGCATCCGCGCTGTCACTGGCCGTGCCGTCGTCGCTGTCAGCATCGTCACCAGCATCGCTACTATCATCACCGCGTCTATCGTTGTCGACGTTGCCATGATACCGCGCCCGACCAAGTCGCCGACTCGCACAAAAGTGCCCGCTGGGATGTGCCCAGCGGTCAGCGCCACCTCGGCCGCGCCGGTCGCGCCAAAGTAGCTGGCCGCTGCACGCGTGTGCATGCGCGGGCTGTCGCGGCCGCAGAGATGCACCAGCCAGCGAAAAGCACTCATCGCAATCGCCGCCGCATGCGTTTTGCAAACCAAGTTGCGGGTGGGTGGGTGGGATATTTGCGCGAGCAGTGGAGCGGACAACCTCAAGTTGGGCATTGGTGGAATGCACCACGTAGATTGCACCACAAGCATAGAGATATTGCGCAGTACACAAGTGCACAACAGCTATTCCACCATAGTTTTACACCTTGTAGATTGCGCCACGTAGAGTACGCGACAAATATTGCACAGCATAGACTACACTACGCAGATTGCACCACGTCGGTTGCACCACATACATTGCACCACGTTGGTAGAACTACAAAGACTGCGCCGCGTGTATTGCACCACATACACGTTGCACTACATGCGTTGCACCATATGGGCTGCATCACACGTGTTGCAAGGCATCGATTGCACAACATCTAATGCATCGCATGTTTTGCACCTCCAGATGGCACCACATATATTGATTAAGGCATCTTGCGCAACAGGGATGACACATCATATATTGCACAGCGTGTGTTGCACAACGTAGAACGCATTACATGTATCGACCCACATTGATTGCACAACATATATGGCTAAAAATGCACTGTTTGGGGCCCACGCTGGCTTACATAGTATTCTTATTATCCGCCACCGTGCCTGCAGTACGTAGGGCTGCCTGGCAGGGTTTTTGTAGCCTACTAAGGAGCCCGTCCCTCCGCGGGACGCACCCAGCCACCTGCACCAACCATACTCCCAGGGGGTTCCCTATGCGGTCATGGCGCCTCCCTGGTGCTCAAAAGCTTCCATGACGGCCCAGGGGCCCCCCAAGACAGTTCAAGAGGACCCCGAGTCGCCGAACGATCGCTCGAAGACGCTCAAGATGACCTATGGCCCAAGAGGCCTCCGGGACGCCCAAAAAGGCTTCCAAGAAGCCTCCCAAGAGGGCAACAAGAGGCACGAATGATTGATTTTCCAGAGGTCATTGAAAGATTTTGGCGTTCTCGCCTTTTCGGCATTCCGATGCCCCGGGACGGTCCAAGAGGGCCCCGAGTCGCCGAACGATCGCTCGAAGACGCCCAAGATGGCCTCAAGATGGCCTCAGAGGCCTCCAGGACGCCCCAACAAGCTTCCAAGAGGCCTCCCAAGAGGGCAACAAGAGGCACGAATGATGAGTTTTCTGCAGGTTATTGAAAGATTTTGGCGTTCTCGCCTTTTCGGCTTTCCGATGCTCCGAGATGGCCTAAGAGGCCCCCAAGACCATCCAACCACAACCTAAGAGGCCTCCAAGAGGCCTCCAAGAGGGCCCCAAGACGGCCTAAGAGCGCAGCAAGACGGCCCAAGAAGCGGCCAACAGGACGGCCCAAGAGGGCCCCAAAACGGTACCAAAAGAGGCCCAACATAGGGAAGACGAGCCGATGATCCGAGCCGTCCGGCCTAAGAGGCCACCAGGAGGCCCCAAGAGGCGCCCAAGAGGCCCCAAGAGGCCCCAAAGCGGCTCCCAATAGGCATCAAAACTGCTTCCAAGAAGCCCCCGAGAGGCCTCCCAGGAGATCCCAACGAATATCCAATGGGCTTCATACCCACAACTCAGGCACGGTGGCGGGACTTGCCGTAGGCAGCTGGATTCTTTGCGTTCCTCTCAATCTTATTCTGTATTATCATTAATTTGTTCTTCTTATTCTTGATCCTCCTTCTCCTGGTCCTCCTCATCTTCCTTCGCCTTCTCCCCCTCACTCTTCGTTCTGGTCCTCCTCCCTCCCTCCCGCATTCCCCTCCGGAAGCCTCCGAAAGCCGCCCCCCTCAGAACCCCTGCGCAAGTCCCAAGCACTCTCGAACGCCTCCCAAACACCTCCCTCCCTCCCTCCTCCTTCTCATCGCTCGCTCCCACTTCGCCCCGCCTTCTCGCTGCAGCCCTCCTCCTTGGGCGAGGGGCAGGCGATGGGGCCGCAGGAGGAGGGGTCGGCGGACCAGGAGTCCGCGTCGGCCCCGAAGTCGGGGTCGGTGAACACGTCGAGGACCTCCCCTCGCGGGCTCCCCAGGTCACGCACCTCAAGACGGGGGCAGGGCGCGTTGGTTTTCAGCAGCGGCGCGACGCCACGAAGGGCTGTGCAGCAACTGCCAACTGCTGGCAGAGTGGCAGAGCCGACAGTGTACCCGCACCTATGGGACAGAAAGAAAAAAGCGTCCGCGCAGGAGGACTGAAAAAGGGAACATCGCGCTCGGAGCATGAAGCTCTTCACTTGAAGGTGCAGACCAAGGAGCGAACGAAGGGCGGTATACCAGAAAACTGCCCTGCCGTCGGGGACGCCTGCCACAGGGCGGCTGGAAAGTTGAAAGTTCACGCACCGACGTGCCAGCGTGTGGGCGTCGCGTCCTGGGCGCCGCGCAGCAGCTGCTGGCAGAGGTGGAGCTGGCAGCGCTGAAGGTCCACCACTGCAGCGCCGGCTTGGCGCTTGGCCCCTCGGGCGCGCAGACCGCAGCGCCGGCGCCGCGGCCGGCGCCGCGTGCTCAGCGCGCAGCCAGGCGTGCCGCCGCAGGGCCCTGCGTCCGGAGGTGCCTTGGCACCAGCGCCGCCAGGCAGCGCGGGCGGCGGCGGCAACGGGGCCCGCTGCGCCGCTCTGCTCGCGGGGCAGGCCTGGAAGCTGCACGCCGCCGCACGAGGCCCCGGAGGGGTGGCCTGCGCATGCGCTGCGGGGCGTCCGCGCCCCCA